GTATGGTGAATATGGAGGATTCGGGTGAGCAGCACACCGTGACAGCTTCGCCGCCGCCACCACGGACTGCTCTCAAGAGCAACTTTAGTATTCGCAGTATCGTGCCAGAAGCGTGCGCCGGCACTCCGGCACCATCGGTCAGCCAGTCGGACTCTTCCGACGTCGGCCACGCCGATGACAGCGATGATTGCAGTGATCTGGACGTTACCGGTGGAGGCGCGGAAACGCCACCCTTGGACTGCTCCACGAATGCAACGTCCGTCAGTCCGACCGACTGCCAGAAGGATCCGAAGGAGCAATCGGAAGACAAGAAAAAGGCGGAGAAACCACCGTATAGTTACAACGCGCTGATTATGATGGCCATTCGACAAAGCCCCGAGAAACGACTTACGTTGAACGGCATCTACGAGTATATAATGCGTCACTTTCCATACTATGAAAATAACAAGCAAGGTTGGCAGAATTCCATCCGGCACAATCTATCCCTGAACAAATGTTTCGTCAAAGTACCACGTCACTACGATGATCCGGGAAAGGGTAACTACTGGATGCTGGACCCGAGTTCCGAGGACGTGTTCATCGGAGGTGCCACGGGAAAACTCCGACGGAGGACTACGGCAGCCTCCAGGTCGAGATTGGCGGCTTTCAAGAGGAGTTCGATGCTCGGTGGTCTTTATCCACCTTACGCGCCACCAGGATGGCCGACGTCGATTTACGCTCTGCCTTCGTCGCTCTGTCTTCATCGCGCTGTTGCGTATCCTCCGGTGACCGCTGGCTCTTATACCATACCCGCCGGATATCCGGCTAGTTTGTTGCCCGGGGCGGCGACTACGTCATCGACTACAAGCTTGCCCTGCAAACCGCAGCCTCTCCCAGCGACGGCGGCACCACCGACGACCCATGGGGCATTCTCGGTGGAAAGGTTACTGCAAGCGGCACCTACCGGTTATCCCGGCGGGATCAGCATCCCGACATCCGGAATCTCGCCTACGGGGAATCCCTATCAGGATTTTTATAGTACTCTAAGATCTATCGCGATACCACCGATACCGGCGTCGATATTTCATCAGCAACCCAGGTATCATCTCGGTCAGGCACCGGTTCTAAGTCAGCCCGCCTCTAGTACGGCTTCGCCCGGGAGCAGTCCGGAGCCGATGGATCCGCATTCGCCACCGGCTACCGTCTGCAATTCCGTCCAGCCGTCGAGACCGCTTCCTCACAGTCCGCCGCAACTTCTTCTAAAGCCCATCACGGTTCTTACTGGCCGCCAAAGTTGAATTGGCGATTTAATACCAATTATTTTGCAAAATTATCGTCATCGGGAAATGCAACGCGATCTCATCTCGCGTTATAAATATAATTTTATCATTTACATCATTTCCATTCAAAATTCAATTCAATTCTCATAGATGAACGCGATTGACGAGCATGATGATGAAGAATGGTTTTTGCTGAGGTAATCTAAAAATTTCAAATGGTCAAATATGAACCAAATCTGAACCAAAGATCTGAAAAGATCTGAAAATAAAGTTTTGTCGGTCGGATTTAAAATTTAGATACTCGACTACGGCAAAACTATTCTTTCCGTAAAGAGAACTTGATGAATTTAGCTGGACTAAATTTTGATTTTAAAATTGCAGCTTTGCTTATATCGGAAATGTATTTCTCGGGGGAAATTTCAAATTTGACCGATATGTAGATAGTGTAAAATATTTATAGTGTAAAAGGTGAAAAATCTTGTCGCGATTTCTCAGCATTCCCGATACGGATAGATCAGCGATTGTATTCAACTTGCATAATCGCCGATAACTCGGCTCGATTTGTACTTGAACTCGTCTCCCGTTTGTATGTAATTTCTCTCTCGTACACCCTTAGATATTGCTCTTCTCATAAATATCTCATATTAAGCGATGCGCCAACGTTCGTTTATCAATACGATATTGTACACTAGAACTTTACCAAAATGTGAATCTTGAGATTGAATCTCAATGACCTCGAGATATAAGAAGATAGTATAAATATAAAAATATAGTTACGTAGAATAAATTTTAACTTGTGATCTCTTTTTGACAGTCCTAGCGTGTACAGGACAGCGGTGTAACATCGATTAATTGTGTATAGTCAGATTTGTAGATAGTCATTCGCAGCTTGTTATTATAATATTGTATATAGAAATTATTGTTGCTAAAGATATTACGAATATTATATATGTATATAAAGTTGAGGACTCGACAAGGATGAAATTTCTCATGTCTGTGAGAAATGTACATATACAATATGTCACCGAAATAAATGTTCAAAACTTTTCTAGAACTTTTCCATGTCGCAATTAATATTTACCTTACTATTTATCTTATGCATTTTCGCGAAATATATATTGTCACATGGTATACAATTTATATGTTGTATAATTTATACAAAATTAGAAAAGAATATCTTTTTAAAGTATCTTTTACGGATGTATTATAATATTGTACAGTGTATTGTATGTATTATAATCTTTATTTTTTTATAAGCAGTGTATGTGATGATTTTTATTTTTTATTTTTCACATATACATATATCGCGATTAAATCTAATTAATAATATATTACACACTTTTCCTTTTTCAATAAAAAAGTATTCAAACATGTTCAAATTTCGAAGACTACTTAAACTTTTTACGAATGCATGAATTTTTACTGACTTTTTCATTTTATGAGATATTAAAGCAAATCTTTTCAGAATGTTGTATCGATTCGATCAGATGAAATGATTTTCCTCCAAAATCATTTTTCCCTAAAAATTTTGCGTATCATGACCGCTCGTAAAATTAACAGGCAGAACCCGTCAAATGTCAAAACATAATATAGGACAAAGATTTGGCTCCTTTAAAATGAGAAATATACACAATGGCATAACGTTTAGGATTTGAGAGATGGTACGAGGTTACCGCTGCGAAATTGCTTTAGTATAGTCATAAACCATGCCTCGACATTCTTTTCTATCATTCTGTTCACTTTTGCTTTTTGACTATGCAACCACTTCTCTAGCGAGAATAACAGAACAAAACCCTCAAACTCTAATACTTTTTCTTTCAAATCACGGAAAGAACACTTTTATTGGCTAAAAATCTAAAAATTTGACAGATCTGAAAATAATGTTGTTGGGACTTTAAAGTCATTATATACGACCTACAAATTATTGGTTGCTAGAAGATCAAAAATTTTTCTAGTGTCATTATCATATTTAAGCGTTCTACATAATAATTTTTTGGTTCAATGAAATTATTTTGAAATCTACATAGGCCAAATTTTTCTATTCACCAGCAAAATTGTTCTCCCCATGATGTCAACAAAAAATCAGGAAAACGAAAAAATGCATCGTTCTTTGGAAGAAAACATTTGTTCAAATTAGTTGTAAAACACTTATACATATATGTATCTATATATATCTATATATATATATATATATATATATATATATATATATATATATATATATATACCATTATAAATTTATTCTCTTAAAATGTCACACAAATGCATTCGCAAGTGTCGCTTACACGATTTAACGAGGCACACAACTGTCTCTTGCAGAATTATTGAAAATTTGATTCATAAATTATTGTAAGATAGGGCAGTATATCCGTATATCGCTGGCGCTCTTTTGCGCCACGTTCAGTTTTTTTTTTTTGTAGAAAGCGCGCAAATATGGGATAGTTGTATTATCGAGCTAAGCTCGAAATATATCAAATCATTGCAATTAGAACTTGTATTGTAAAGAACGGACGAACATGTCCGAAGGCGAAATCGCGTTGTTGCATAGCATCACGTAACCCGAAGGGGACGGGTAAACACTTGCCTGGCCAATTGCTACAAGTGGCAAGTTGTCTACGGCACGCATGTTGTTGCTCCTCTCTATCGTGTCGCATAGGTGCTCGATATCGTTACAAGTGCTGCAGTGTCTCGTTTCGATACGTCACGATACGATACTTGGCAAATGACAATGTCGCATCATTCTTTTACAGAGTTTTTTGTATATCGGCTACCTTTGATCAAACGTATGTATAATGCATACGTTAATGTACATGCAAAACATATACGACACATAAATTCGCATGAGTTAAATCGTAACTATTCAACTTGAATATGCATTGCACTTGACATTGAATTTAATAACGTGTTATAATAAAATAACAAATGTTCCAGATGTCCTTCCTTCTGAACGCAATATCGATGACGATATCGAGATGTCGAGATTAATGCGCGTTACTAACGCATCAAGTATTTTTGATCTGATTTTTGATCCGTTGTTCTGCAAATTAGACTAATTAATTAATTTCTTTAATTAACAATGCAGATAAAGATAAAAATTTTATATTTTAAGCAAATCTTTTTGAAAGGCTGGCTGTTTGTTTTTAAATTTCAACTAATAACGCCGAGGTGACATTATTTATTAAAATTTTGTTACGCGCGGCAATATCTGGGGCGAGACATTAATATTACACTTCACAGAGGGAATTATGTGTGCAAAGCGCGTAAAGTTTGTAAAGTGTTTCTAGCGTTTTAGTAAGTAGCCGGTAACTCGCTGAATTACTTTGCGCCATTACATTATTGCCGATGTCGTCAGCATTATTCGCAAATACGCCCGCAGTGGTAAAGGCGTGAAGTCTTTCGAAGCAGGAACTATTTGGTATCTAGCTCGTATATGTATATCGTTATAATATTACGGCTACTATGTGACTTTGCTGTACAAGTGTTCCTGGACACTGCTCGCACATGTTACCATCCGTGGTTTCACATTAACAGAGATATAATGATTTATAATTTTGTATTCTATTACACTTGCATTAAATAGTGACAAGTTAAGATATTTAAAAATTATTTTTTATTCCATATTTGGAAAATCTATTGCGGCAAGAAACATTCAGAACTAAGAAATTTCCAATCCGTTTTTGATATCTTTATGGAATAAGATACAAATTTTATTTTAAAAGAGTCTTTTAAAGTAAAGCCTGATAAAAGACAAAGTTTTTAAACCTATTGCGAATTTTTAACATGTTTATATATATATAAAAATAGTACAAAGAAAACATTTGTAATTAAATAAGAGGAATAAAGAATCCTTTCTCGTACCTTGATCAGAAATTTGAACTGTCTTATGGCCCATCTACGGTTATTTTGACATCGCCATCTTGCTTATTTATAAAGGGGTTCCCTAATATTTCGATCTCGACAACCAGTCGCGACTTTCATTTCTGTCGCACGCACACACTTACGTGGTTACCATGTGAATGGGCTGATGCGATCGTGTGTGCGCATGCACGTGGGGTGGCGTGTCAATAGATTTTGGTGGTGGTGCGTTACATTATTTTCATCGCTTTATATCATGAGAGGCGAGATGAAAGGAGAGGGGGAGATACGTCATTCGGAGTCTGCAGAGACATTGACGAAGGAGAGGGAAGACTGGTTTCATTTCGATATACAAGATTCACCCTCGTGTAGAACCCAGCTTCAGGGGTAAGGCCGGTTTTCAGCCTATAGGGATGCGTTCCAAATGCAATGATGGTTGATCTGCGGTCTTTACTAAACATGCTTCGATCTTGCCGCAGTCGTTATACGCTACTTATATCATAGAGAGATTTCCTCAGGCGATTACTACCTCGTGGCGGAAAAGACGCATCAATTCGGACTCAAGTTTGTGTACAAGTGCTTCCTTTATAATTTTCTTTTATTCTTGGCTATAATAACGTGTTTATTTTATTGAAATGTCCGTTTTGCTATTATCGCTATAATAGCGTAATTGCTCCAAATTATTATCAAGTTATTATGAATATAATTCTTAACGTTAATATCAACCTTTTCAATCATAACAATAATCCACTTCAAAATCTTGCGCCATCTTATGCGTATCATAATTATATCGATACAACGTAAGATATCGCTCTACAGTTTTGAATTCGTGTTATAACATTAAGTATTTAAGTTGTAATTAACAAATAAATATAATTACGTGCCAATAATAATGTGTATCTAAACTTAACTTAAACTTGTATAATGATGATGAATCAACAATCGTGAATAAAACGAATAGATCTAACGTTTAGATTTATTCACGATTAGGGACGATGCTCTCTTCTATTTATTTGGTGAAATAGTCATAATAAATGAAATGTAATTTCATTATTGTAACGATAACCAAATTTCTTTTTTGAGCATTGCGAACTCTCGACTGACTCATCGAGTTTATCATTGAGTTGATGATTCGCGACGGAAGTCTCGTCGATTTCCTCGACGGCGAGCGAGAAGAGAATGAGAAGCGCCGTCGTCGTTAAGCAGAGGACGAAGGAGGGATGTTGACGTGGCACTTTGATTGCGGCTAATTTCGAGTAAGATTCAAGGATAGAACGAAATTGTAGCCCTCTTCAGCCACGCGCAAATGACGTAAGATCACGTACCTATGTAAGTAATACCGTACCGAGCCTACTCGCCGCGCGATGACTCGTTTAATTTATTTAAGCGCGGAGGAAGAATTAAGGAGATGCTGCGAGAGCGAGCGAACGAGAGAGAAAGAGAGAGAGAGAGAGAGAGAGAGAGAGAGAGAGAGACCGCGTGTGCTTCTTCTTTATCTCGTCATACATGCT